TCAAGAGGGTCGAAAACTCGGTAATAAGGGTAGTTTTTCAGTTATTGTGATTTATCTCAAAAACTATGATATTTACGTAAACGTTTATAAGAATAAAATTGTAGATACAAATATTTTAAATAATAAAGTTCATTACTAAAAAAGTCGTAAGTCAAGTATTTACCTCGTAAAAGTTATAAGTTCAAAAATTTGTTTAAAAAGGTGTTTTTCAGTTTTTTGCGATTAAATCCTAAAGTATTAACTATAGAAAAAAATAACTTATTATAAAATGTTTTTAAAATTAAATTTACAATAATATTTGTTATAAGTATTTTTCTCATAAAATGACTCATTCTATCACAAAATAACAAAAACTCGGTTTTATACTATAATAAATTTTATATTGACAAAATAATAGATTATTTTTGCTTATATATGTCAACGAAGTAATCCTCTCATCAGTATTCTCATTGTGTAATGTTTAAAAAAAAAAGTTGGTTTTTATTTTTAATCTTATTGTATAGGTATCAAAACGTCTTTTATTTTAACAAGCTTTTTAGATAACATTATTGATTTAGAATCTTAAATTTTTCATTATCTGTTTTTAAAAATTATCAAAATCATATAAAATTAATACATTTTGTATCACCTATTGTTAAATAACACCTGTTGATAATTCTTCGATAATAGGTTTGATTTTAACCAATAAGTAAAATAATACCATTACAATGGTTTAAAACTCGTTTATACTTAGTACTCGCAAATATCTATTGCAGCATTTGAACGGGCTCGGTACAAAGTTTTTTTTTTATATTTTGTTCGTTTTAACGCTGATGTATAATTTTAGTGAAGTTTAATTTTAGCTGAAGTGTAATTTTTGTTATTTTCTTGCTTTTTTCTTTTATTATTTAATATTAAAAGTAGTGTAGTAATATGTCACACAAAGTAAATTTGCGTAAATAGATTTATTTATTAGGTCATACTGCCCATCAAATTTATGGCTGTAAATTACCTTCTAATATACAAGTTCTTAAAGTATTGTTTCATAATATACGTGAAGTAAAATTAAGCATTCGTGATAGTGCACGATTAGTAATAGATAACGTTTTAATATTTTGGCAAAAAGCTCGCATTCCAACTCGTGACGTACTTCACTGTGTATTAAAATTGGAAGCAATTTAAGACGAATGGTGAAGTTTGCAAAAAAATGCATCACGACAAACTGATAAAGAAAGAAAATTGTTTTATCAATAAATTTGACGACCTTTTTGATATAGCACATGCTGACGCTATGAATCTGATGAGTATTGAGTTGGATAAACAATTTTTAATTCGTCAACGTGAAAAAGGTCATCCGGAATCGTTGAGTGGAATCGATTATGATTCATATCAAGCTGATCAAAAAAAGTATTTACGCTTTGAAAAAACAGAAAAAAGAAAAAAACGTACTTATGATAAAATAAAAGCATCGTGTACGTGTTTAATTAACTTATAAATGTTCTATTATATTATATTATTTATGAATAATAATTGCAGATGATACAGTTGAGTTTTATTCAGGATCGTCAAAAAGTGACACTGACGATAATAGTCAAATCATGTCGACCAATGAAGATTTAATTTTTGAGAAAACATTATGTGAACCTGGTCCATCTACTAGTAAACGAGCTTCAAAATAGTTTCTCACTAACAAACTTGTAGCTAAATTGGATAGATGTAAGATCAGTGACAGAGACGCTACTCATTTACTTATGGCAGCGGCTGAAGCATTTGGTCAAAACGTTGATAGTTTGGTAATAAATCGTTCGTCAATATATAGAGAACGTAAAAAGTTACGTAAAGAACGAGCTTAAAATTTACGTGAAAATTTTCAAATTAGCTTATTTAGTAATGCAGTCGTACACTGGGATGAAAAATTGCTTCCTTCGTTAACTTCAAAAGATCTTGTTGACCGATTACCAATAATTATTTCTAGTGGGAATCATGAACAACTTCTAGGTGTACCAAAATTATCAGAAGGAACTGGAGAGGAACAGGCTATAAAAGTATATGAATCAATTGAAGAATTGCGGTATAAAAAACTCAGTTGTAGCTGTTTGCTGTGACACTGCGTCTTCAAACACCGGTAGATTAAAACGCACATGTATATTACTAGAACAACGTCTTGAAAAAGATTTTTGTTGTATTTACTTTGTTGAAATCATATTTATGAAATTGTTTTAAAAAGTATTTTCGAAGAAATATTTGCTTCAACCTCAGGGCCTAATGTTCAACTTTTTAAAAAATTCCAAGAAGGCTGGAGTAACATAAATACAAATAAATTCAATCCAGGTATAGAAGATAAATATGTTAGTGAAAAATTATGTGATGCCAAACAACGTGTACTTGAATTTTCACTAATTATTTCAAAAGAAAAACAGTTTAAAGAAGATTATAGAGAGCTATTAGAACTGTCTATAATTTTCCTAGGCGCAATCCCACATCGCAGTATATCGTTTCGAGTTCCGGGATCATTCCATCACGCCCGATGGATGTCCAAAGCGATATATTGCCTAAAAATATATATTTTTAGAAAACAATTTCATATGACCGCAGCACAAGAAAGAGCATGTCGAGATATTTGTATATTTATAATAAGTGTTTATATTGAAAGATGGTTTCGCTCACATGTTGCAATTGAAGTACATTATCAAGATCTTTCATTTGTTCATTGTCTGATTGAATATGAAAAAATATATCAAAATATATCAAAAATTGCATTAAAAAAATTTTGTGGTTACTTGTGGTACCTAACTCCTGAAGTAGCAGGATTATCGTTTTTTGATTCAAATATTCCTTTACCAATGAAATTAAAAATGGTAGAGTCACTAAAAAATCACAATGACAATGCAAATGTAATTAAGCGTTATGTTGCTCCAATAAATANAAATGTAATTAAGCGTTATGTTGTTCCAATAAATAATTATGCGTCTCTAAAAAATAAACAAATTTATGAATTTATAAATAGTTCATCGATAAAGTTATTTGAAAGATTTAACATTGCCACCGATTTTTTGAACCAAAATCCGGTAGATTGGAATGAAAATGTTAATTACCAAAAAGGTAAATCTTTATTTAATCAGTTAAAAGTCATCAACAATGCAGCTGAACGTGGAGTTCAATTAATAAGTAATTTCAATGAAATAATTACTAAAGATGAAGAACAAAAACAATTTTTAATACAATCGGTCTATGACTATCGTAAGAAATTTTAATATTATTTTATATTATATTATATTAATAATATTTTAAGAATTTTAATATTATTTATTTTATAGCGAAATTTTAACCTTGCATTTATTAAAATTACAATATTTTTTATAACACATAAAAAAATAAATAAATACTTTCTCAGTTTCACATTCAAGCTAATATGTACTGGAAGTGTGTTATTTTTATTTTTCTTATAAATAAGCCAAAATAATCTATTATTTTGTCAATATAAAATTTATTATAGTATAAAACCGAGTTTTTGTTATTTTGTGATAGAATGAGTCATTTTATGAGAAAAATACTTATAACAAATATTATTGTAAATTTAATTTTAAAAACATTTTATAATAAGTTATTTTTTTCTATAGTTAATACTTTAGGATTTAATCGCAAAAAACTGAAAAACACCTTTTTAAACAAATTTTTGAACTTATAACTTTTACGAGGTAAATACTTGACTTACGACTTTTTTAGTAATGAACTTTACCATTTAAAGTATCCATATCTACAATTTTATTCTTATAAACGTTTACGTAAATATCATAGTTTTTGAGATAAATCACAATAACTGAAAAACTACCCTTATTACCGAGTTTTCGACCCTCTTGAGGCACGGCTTAGGGTTGACCAAAATTAACGAAATTAAGTATGAACCATTTTTTTATAGTTTTGAAGAAATTTGGGGAGTGGCCCGATCAAATTTCGAAAAAAAAAAATTCTACACCTGTAAGCTAAGGACCACTCTAATGTATACAAATAAATTTGAGGGGTATGCACTAAGCATTTCCGAAACTTCAAAATTCTGGGTCAGCTTAATATATATATATATATATTACACATGACGACCGAGACTGTCTTAATAGACTTATATTTGTCAATAATATTTATATATTATTAGATTCTCGTTAAGTTGATATGTACTAAGTTTAAATAAAATATCAAAGCGTATTCAACGAATAGTTTGTAAACATTTCTTTATTATTATACATATAAATAATGAATAATTATTTTTAACAAATCCTTATGTAAAATTTAACACACCATCGTATTTATCGTTAGAAAATGTATAAGATTGTATTATATCATTACTTAATTATTTAAAAATAATAAATACTGAAAATATAAAGAAAAAAACAGTATTTGTTTAACATATTCTTATATTTATTGAATTAGCAGCATTATTTAAGCTTTATATTTATTTGATATATACAACGTTAATATTTTAAAAGTATTTAAAAAATCGTTATTAAATTATCTATTTCTTGGTTAAAATTTCATTATTGTAAGTTAAGCCAAAAGAGTTATACTTGAGAGTTCATCTTTAAAAAAAAAAAAATGACATTTGACCTTATATTTGAAATTTTAAAGCATTGGTTTGTACTTAGCAAGCTTTGAAAAAATCTTAACAAACATTTTAAAATAATTAAAAAAAAGTTTAAATAAAAAACAATATATATATATATATATAGTTATGGCGATTTTACTGTGTAATTATCAGTTAATAATTAATTATTCTATTAAAATATTAATTTAATTTAAATTTCAAAATTTAGATATGATAGCAAAAAAAATCTTAAACCTAATTCGGAATCAGTGTTAAAAATCCTTACAGAATTATTATAAAATATGTAAATTTAAAAAAAAAAAAACTTTTGTCTTGTGTCATTTATTAGTATGAACAAAAAGAAAATTTTTTATATAACTACATAATAAATAGCAATTATTTATTTAAGTGGAATATATTAAGTACTTAATGTATTCAATTTTAGAGAAAAAAAATTATGATTTTGAAACATGTTTAAAATTTTTTTCTAATGAAAAATTAATAACGGAAAAATGCGAAGAAATTATTGAAATATTTACTCAATTTTCTGAAGATGGCTACATTGATGCTAATATAGTACAAGATTTGATAAAATCATACACAAGCGTAAAATCAAATAGTTATTTAGAAAAAATAATTAAAAAAGCTTATCAGAACAATAATGGTAAACTCAATTTTAGCGGTATGTTCATTATTATTAGTGTTTTATTTTTCATGTTTATACTTTTAATGGATTTTTTATTTAAGATTATATTATGCTGTTCATTTTTTAATTTATTTGATTTTTCCAATGTTTCAGACTTTGCGACATTGATGCACTCATTGTAAATTCAAAATAAAATTTGCTTAGTGAATTTTTTATTAAGAATTGGATGAAATATTGAAATATAATATTATTTATTTGTTAACCTTTTATAATAAATAAATAAAAAATTATTAATAAACGATGATATTTGTCACTCATTTTATCATATTAAAGTATAGATCTAAAAAAACCCCATTTATGATTCTGGAGGGGGGTATAAAATTTGTGAAGAAGATTATATATTTGGTGCGTTTGACCATTGATAAATCGGAGTATTTTTAAGTTTATTTGGAAATTGTATGTCAGTTTATTTGTTTTACTGTACATATATAAATTTTTTGTCAATATATTCATTCTTGAAACTTTTATTTTACTAGAATTTTAATTAAATTTAATTGATTATCATTGTTGTGTGAATTATTTCTGAAAATTAACAAAATATGTATACTTGTTACTTTATATACCCGTACTAAAGTTAATTGCAATTACTTCATATAAAATACTACAAAAATTATTTATCTAAAAAATATGTTTTAAAATGAAAAATAATAAAAGTTTTATATCAATTATCTTATAAGTTGTTGAATTTACTAAATTGTAATGCATAGTGATAGAGTCATCTTTGGAGGGAATTTCATTACTAATTTCATTTTTACGCAAAATTTGATACAAATCCTTTTTTTTTTTTTAATTTCTTTATTTTTAAATTTACAATCTGTAAATAGTTTAGAAGATATACATTTATACAATACATAACATGAATAGCCTATGAAATCACTCCCATTGGGGTCACCTGCTATTGAAAATTAATGTTTACTTTAATTGCATAATATTAATAACAATAATAATAATAATATATAATCACTTTTATATATAATAAAAAATCACTTATGGCCTCTATTTTAAAGACCAAAATTACCCCCCCCTCCAGAAGTATCGGATCTTCAGGGGGCGGCAAGAGTGAGTGTAAAAGGTTCCAAAAACCGGACCCAACATAGCGGGCTCATTCTGGTCGACACCAAGCGACCGCGAAGTCCCACGCGTGGCTGGTTAGGCGCCTTTTATTGCTACTGATGCAGTACGGAGGAAGCTACGAGGAGATGAAATGGATTGGCTAACACGATCATTAACGGAGGACGACGTGATCGACTTAGAGAAGATGATCGACGACTGGAAGGTTTATCCCTATTGGGAAAAGATTAAACCGAGGTCCGAGCGCCTATCATACTTGCTCATGGATAGCAGGAAGGACGGCGAAAACATTTTCCCTGTAGGTCTCTTCATTAGTAAAAGCCGATTTTAGGATGTCTGTGCGAGGCACTTTTGACCGTAACTTTGCTGCTTTTTGGTTTCTGATCGTAGGTGGAGGTTTGGGCCCGGCCGCCGTATCCTCCTTCTTCCTTACTCCTGCTTTCCGTCCTACGACTTGGGTCCACAGCGGTTCAGCGGGAGCAGCTCCCGCATCCCCTTCTACAGACCCTTCATAGTTTGCCCGGTTCGCCACCCTCCCGTCAGTCTGCGTCTGGGTAGGCGCGGTGACTGGATCGGAGGCAGGACCTGGGACAGAAGGCCGCTTTTTCTTCCTCATCCTTTTCTTCTTCTCCGTCTCATTGGCTCCCTTCGGAATGGTGTGGCCTCCACCGTTCAATGTGAGGGGGGCAAAAATAACTCACAACACATAACATTAAACACAAAATACCTAAGGCGCCGGCCTAAACCAGCGCCTTAGGTCCTCCTGTACCAAGCGGCGCGGCTGCCTCTGTCTCAGGCGTTCAGCTTCCTCCTTCTTTTTCAAGATGGATTCGGCGAACGCCTGGACGAGCCTCCACGCCTACCGGCTTCCTAACATCAGGTCCACCAGGGACCCGACTCGGAGCGTGGACCTTAGACAGGACTCCAGAGAGTCCCGTTCCTGGGCCCACGCTTCGCACCGGAAGAGGGTGTGCAGAGCGCTATCAGCCTCTCCCGAGCGATCCGAACAGTGGTCGCACGTCGGCGCGGCTGCTTTACGAATACGGTGCAAATACTCGTTAAAGCAGCCGTGGCCGGATATCACTTGGATGAGACGATAAGTCATCTCACCGTGATTCCGTTCCACCCACAGCCGATCGAGTCCTATGAGGGACCTGGTCCACTCGCCTCTCGTCGTTTCCTCCGAGAGGCGAGTCCGCCACCGGAGCATGGTTATCCGCCTGAGCGCTAGCCGGTCCTCGGGTTCGAGGGACCGATTGCGTTCTCGGCAGAGCTCATGCCCGGCGGCGCATTCCTCGGCGAGCTGGTCGGCGGGCGGCAGTGACGACAGGATACCCGCCACCACTCCGGACACCGTTTGGTACGCCGAAACTGTCCGGATCGCCGCCCGCCTCTGCACCCTGAGCAGGGCTCCACGGTTTTTGGACGAATACTCAAGAGNTGCACCCTGAGCAGGGCTTCACGGTTTTTGGACGAATACTCAAGAGTATCCGCCCAAACCGGGGACCCGTACAGGAGGACCGAGTGTACGACGCTGACTAAAAGTCTGCGCCGCATCTCTTTCGGCCCTCCCAGATTGGGCATGAGTCCCGCCAGGGAATTCATGACTTTCTGGGCCCGCTCTNTCATGACTTTCTGGGCCCGTTGGGCCGCACGAGTAATGTGCGGCCCGAACTTTAGACGTTTGTCTATGACAAGGCCCAGATAAGTCATGGAGTCCTTAAGCGGGATCTCCACCCCCAGCACGGCTAGCCGTGGAGAAGTGAACTTGTATCTTCCCGTGAACAATACTACTTCGGTCTTGTCCAGGGCGAGGCTAAGTCCACTCCCCTCCTGCTGGATCCAGGCGGAGACTGCGCTGAGCGCGCAGTTCGCCCGGGATCTAGCCTCTTCTGCCACCACNGATCCAGCCTCCTCGGACGAGGCGCCTTCCGCCACCACCAGCGTGTCGTCCGCGTAGCAGACGACACGCACGTGCGGTGGTAGCGGAACGCGGAACACCGCGTCATACGCGATGTTCCACAGCAAAGGCCCGAGAACTGACCCTTGCGGGACGCCTCCCGTAACAGGTCGGATTCTCGGGCCCGCGGCGCTCTCGTAAGAGATGACCCGATCGCTAAAGTACGACCGGATCATCCGCCCGAGGTAAGGAGGCACCCGAAACGTGTCCAGCGCTCCGAGGATATGTGACCATCGCACGGAGTTGAACGCGTTTCTTATGTCCAGGCTCACCGCCACCNTTGAACGCGTTTCGGATGTCCAGGCTCACCGCCAACCCGAAGCCCTGCTCAGTTTTGGCCCTGAGGGCCAAGTCCCTGAAGAAGGAGGCCGCATCGTCCGTCGACCTCCCCCTCCTGAAACCATATTGGCCCTCGGCCAGTCCGCCGACGTCGGCCAGGTGGGCTTCGATCCGGGTGACTAGCAGCCGCTCGAGGATCTTCCCCAAGTCGTCCAACATGCAAAGCGGTCGATACGACGAGGGGAGACCCTCGGGCTTGTCACCCTTCCTCAGAAGCACTAACCTGGCCTTCTTCCACTTCGTGGGAAATTCACCCTCCGAGATGTAGCGGTTCGCGACGGCGCGTATCCAGTCCGGGGCGAGGTCGTTTACCAACCCCCACACCCGGTTTGGAATCGCGTCAGGGCCGGGAGCTGTGTTCCGGCCCCGTACGCGCGCCACCGCGTCGGCCACCTCCTGGGTGGTGAATTCCTCCACAGACACGTCGTCCCCGAATGCCGGGGGAGGCAGAGGCGGATGTATCGGAAAGAGCGCGTCTACCGCCCTTTCCAGCACTTCCGCCTCCAGCTGACCGGAAGTCGGTGGACCGTGGAGCTTCCGCTTAACGACCCGATAGGGTTTCCCCCACGGGTCGTGGTCCACCGACTTCACGAGTTCGGCCCAGCACTTCGCTTTGGCCCGCCTGATGGCGAGCTTCAGCTCTTTGCGGG